GCTTCAGAACACCCAGAGCTCCCTAAATCAAGATTGCCTCACCCCTATCAAAGAGAATAACTTTTGTGTCTAAGGTAGAAGCACTTTGTTCTCTTTTGGAAGAGTCTAGAACTACTAGTTCTCTTAGAATATCAGCATACTTAATACCTCACATTTATATCTTTTCTCAGTTTTGCGCAGGATTTTGAGTCCCCTTTCCTCACTGTGCAGTAAATCCACCCTCTGGGTTGTGGTGGGGGGCAGATTCACTTGCTGCTAATGGGAGTATGCATCACTTGTGGGTAATGGGTCAAGAATAGGTCAAGTTCAGCAGGACACACTGGAGAGCAGACGGAGCCAGTCAGAACCGAGGAGCAGGTAACATCCATTCATACAGTGAGGTAGGTGGACCTACCTGGAAGTAGAGACTCAACTAGTGAGCCCTGATATAGCATTTTATTCTCTTCAAGAGAAACAGACAGGAGAAAGGCTGGTGCTGACTGTAGACAAAAGGCTTTGAGGGCGTGTCAGAGCTCAGGTATGACGACTAGGGTCAAAGGACACAGCCCGACTCCCAGCAAGACCAGTGCTTTGCCCTTCAGGGTCCAAGTCTTTCCCACCTCAGTTGAGCTTTAGTTCCAGGGTCAATTCTGTGGTTGACTTGCAGTTGAGGATCAAATGGGTGTACTGTGGACAGAAAAGCGCTGACAGAACAGAGGGGGGAGGGAGAAAAGGGACAGTACATTATGAAAAAACAGTGAAAGTCCAATCTGAGCAGTAAATAGCACAAGAATGTCACCATAACTAATACCCATGACTGCTCAGTCGCTAGGCCTGCCCTTTGGGGTTGGCGTTCTGATAAGTATCAAGTGCTTTTTAGAAGTATTATGGCTGGTTTTCATCCCTCTTCTGGTGTTAGTTGACAGAAAGCTCCCTCTCTGTGCTGTCCTGGGAAAGTTTATCTCTTCAAGATCGCCCTTCCAAAGTCCTCTAAATAGAATCTTTTGGATTATTAAGAGCCACACAAAAAAGACAAACATTCCAATGAGTCAATCAACATTAGTCTGAGTTGCTTCAGTCATATCATAAGGCTTGTTTTTTCTCAGTAGCTTTAGTGAGATAAATCTCAGTGAAATGGGTTGGGGAAATGGGGAGTGATGCATTATTTTTGAGCACAAAGTGTTTGAAAGAAGGGTGGGCTTCTAAGAATTTCTGAAGGGGCAAAGAGGACACTCAGGACCTGGGAGTGGGAGACCCAGGGAGACGACGGGCTGCAAAAGTCTTTTTTGCATGGGCTAGGTATTTCTTCACCATCCCTCAGCTCCAGGCTCACTCCTTGATGCTTTGTTCTGTGGTGCCAGGTCTGTGATCTGCAAACCGTATTTCTTATATTCCATTGCTGGCAGGTCTCTGCCAATGGAAGTCACCAGAAAGAGCCTGGAAGGAGGGGGAGAGAGAAGAGACTATCTTCGGTCTCCAGTCCCTAGCAGCGTGTCTCCAGCAACAGGCAACGAGGCCTGCTCCAGCCTCCAGCTGCTCTTGGCCACCTAGCACCAGTGGCACTGCACACCTTCAGAAGTATCAGCACCCACTGGGGCAGGAGGCAGGGGCTCTTCTGCAGGCTTCTGGGTCCTGGTAGCCCAACTCTTCCATTTTGTCCCCAGTCTAAAGAATGGCAGTTGCTCTGTACTCTTAGGCTAATCTCTGGGTGATCTCAGCAACCCTTGAATGCTGTTTCAACCTCCAACATTTTCTGGCATTAAACTTGGAAAAGCCTGCCATGGTTTCTGTTTTCCTGAATGGACCCTGACTGCATATATTATTTATTTATCCATGTGTGTATATACAGTCATGCCTTACTTCATGACGTGGTGTGTTTCGAGAAATGTAGCAGTAGGCGATTTCATCATCGTTCAAACATCAGGGAGTGTACTTGCACAAACCGAGAGGGTGTAGCCTACTACACACCTAGGCTAGATGGTATAGCCTGTTGCACCTGGGGCCACACACATGTATAGCATGTCACTGTCCTGAATACTGTAGGCAGTTGTAACACAATGGTAAATATGTATACATAATCTAAACATAACTAAACATAGAAAAGGTACAGTAAAAAAAAGATAGTATAAAAGATTTAAAAGAAAAGTATACCTGTATAGGGCACTTACCATGAATGGAGTTTGCAGGACAGAAGTTTGGGTGAGTCAGTAGGTGAGTGGTGAGTGAATGTGAAGGCCTAGGATATTACCGTGTGCTGTACACAACTATAGACTTTATAAACATTGTGCACTTAGCCTATGCTAAAATTATAAAAAGGAAACTTTCTTTCTTACATAATAAATTAACTTACCTTAGCTTACTGTAACTGTTCTACTTTATACACATTTTCATCTCAAACTTATGACTGTATTATAATACAACTTTGCTTAAGACACACATTGTACAGCTAGCTGTACAAATATCTTTTCTTTATATTTTTATTCTATAAGCTTTTTTCTATTTTAAAAATTCATTTAATTTTTAACATTTTGTTAAGAACTAAGACACTAACACACATATGAGCCTAGGCCTACGTGGGCCAGGATCATCAGTGCTAATGTCTTCCACTTCATGTCTCGTCCCACTGGAAAGTCTTCAGGAGCAATAACCTGCATGGAGCTGTCATCTCCGCTGATGACAATGCCTTCCTCTGGAACACCTCCTGGAGGGCCTGCCTGAGGCTGTTTTATAGTTAACTAAGTTTTAATAAGTAAGAGTACACTTTGAAATAGTGATAAAAAGTACAGTGTAGTAATATAGAAGCCACTAACAGGGTTGTTTGATTATTATCAAGTATTATGTAACTGTAAATAATTGTATGTGCTATACTTTTATCCGACTGGTAGTGCAGTAGGTTTGCTTACACCAGCATCGCCATAAACACGTGAGTAACATGTTGCACTATAATGTTACGATGGCTATGAAGTCATCAGGTGAAAGGAATTTTTCAGCTCCATTATAATCTTAGGAGACTACCATTGTATGTAGAATCTCCCATTGACTGAAGCTTCATTTTGTGATGCATGACTGTATTTATTTATAGATGACCAGTGTCTAAAAACAATAGGAAGAGGTTTTCAACAAAAGCACGGAGACATGACCAGAAATCATTAATACAAGACAAAAGGTTAAAAAAAAAAAAAAAAGGAACGTGGAAAAGGAAATGTTAAAAATTTTCAGCTGAGAAAAAAATGTGCATCTTTAAACACATTTATACTGCTTTCCTACTTTTAACTGGGTGAGGAGAGGGAGCTCTTCTCAAGAATTGTGGTTATGTTAAATAAACTCATTATCTTTCCAAAGCTTCTGCAGAGATTCTGAGCTGGAAAGAAAAGACCAGAAAGTTGGTCTTTTGGTCAGCAGAGAGAGCATCATAGGTAGTGTTAAATATTCCCAGAGAGACCTGAAGCGTAGTTGCACAGGGAATGGAATGCCTATTGCTTTGCATCAGTGACTAGCAAGGACTTTGGAGACTATCTAGAGTCCAATCCAGATGAAGAGAGAGGGCCTAAGGAGGTCAACGGCCAGTAACGTCCCCATGTGATTAGTGAATTTCAGAATATTGGTATCTAGCATTCAAATAAATTGCGACTTTACATTATGACTACAAAAGTAACATGAGTAATATAGACAATACTCAAGGAATTTAAAAGTATTCAGAATAAAAACCGCTTCCCTTCTATCTCCTCTACCATGTAGGTATCCAAAGAGATTATACCCATATGTATTATTCACTGGCTTTCTTTTGTCACTTAACAACACATCCTTTTAATGGCTAAATAATATTCCTTATTCTGAATATAACAGTGAATTATACTGGGTAATATTCTCCAATTGATGTGTGTCTGGGTTGCTTTTAGTGTTTAAAATATCATTTAAAAGATGTCCTGTGATTTATTTACTTGTCCATGAGCAAGTAATTCTGTAGGAAAGATTCCTAGAAGGGGAATTGACCAGACACTGACAAATTGCCAGAAGCAGTTTCTGAGAACCCTCTCATCAGAGGGGTGGGGGAACTTGTGCTTCTCTACACCCCCACACAGAATGGAATGATCGATCTTTAAAAATGCTCTGCAGTCTGATTGGCAAGACAGGGCATCTCCCTGTTTCCCATTCCTGGATCAACAATGAAGTTGAGCATTTGATAACACATATACATTAGCCAGTGTTTTTCCTTTTGCTGTGGATTGCTTTTGTGTATCCTTTGCTTATCTCTTCTGCAGGGATGCTCACTTCTCTTACCAATTTGTAGAAATTCTTACCACATTGTGGATATGAATCCCTTGTTTGCTATATGTGACATCTACATTTTTGGCTTGTATCTCCATCTCCACGGCACATCTGGGAAGATGTGAGATGCTGCTGCTGCAACCTGGTTTTGGGATGGAGAGATAGCTCTTCAGAGAGAAGGTAGCCAAAGAAAGAAAAGCCGGTGAGCTGTGAGAAGAGGGCATCTGTCTCAGTCACCTCTGCAGGTGACCAGTGATGTGTTCAGGAAAAAAACACATGATTTGGAGACTAAAGGGCTATGGTTCATTCCTTGCTAACTATATAACCTTGGATGAATTATCTAACCTATCTGAGGCTTGTTTTTTTCTACAAAAGAGAGGAAGTAATGATCTTAACTTCATATAGGATTGGTGTGGAATAAATGAATAAACTCATGTAAAGGATTTGCTTCAGGGCCCCTGGCATCAAACCATGTTTGAGCAATGAACAGTTTATAGGGTGAGCCCAATAAAATCACACACACAGATGTCTTCTGACAATTTTAAAGGGCTGTGAACACATACGTTGATGTTAGTTTAATACACATTCATCCTTTTGTCTTAAGGTACCAGAAGCCTGTGGAACATTTGAGAGCTCTCTTGGTTCTGAGTTTGGAGACCGGAATTCTCTGAAAGCCAGGTCACCTCCCACTTTCACTGACTGGCGAATGAGGATCTGGGGGCTGGCAATGAGGAGACTGGCTCAGGAGCAGGGAAAGTGGTGGGGACAACCTGAGTGCATGACAGTGGAAGGGAAAGCCAGCAGTTTTCCTTACTATGGCTGGAACAAAGGCGCTTTTGATGCTGGAAAACTTCATAGATGGAAAATTTTTGCCTTGTAACTCCTATATAGATTCTTATGACCCATCAACAGGGGAAGTGTACTGCAAAGTACCAAACAGTGGGGAAGAAGAGGTGAGTACATTTACTTAAGGAAGATAGAAATGCATTTAATATGTTGGTGAGTTATGGATGACTTAACTTTCTAGAGGCAGAGCGGGTTGGGGAAGGTGTAGAATTGTTAGACATTGGCCGAAAGAATATTCTAGTTCTAAGAAGGCTGGCCTTGTACCTGACCATGTCTGATGCAAAGAACAAATCTCAGGTAACTATGTTCAGAATCAAGTCATTTTTTCCAGCCAACTTAACCCACAGCCATATGTGAGTTTTTAATGTAATTCTTGGACACTCCCCAGTAGGTGTCTAGTCTAAAGTATTATTGGTAATAACTATCACTATTGTTAAGTGCTCCCTTTCTCTACCAAGGGTTGCCTGCTTTTACCACTATATCCCTGGATTTCTAAAACCATGTGTCATTTCGCTAAAAAACAAAAACAAATCAGGACAGAAAATCCCCGGGCTTTATTTCAAATGGTCTTCTAATAATTCCTCACTTCTTCAAAATACTTAGTAAAATAAAATCAGTCATTTGAATGATGAAACTCAAAATCAAATTCCCTTATATTTCTGCAGTTAGATTTAACATCATCCTTTTTTTAATTCAAAATGCATTACTGTTTATTTATTTTTTTATTTGTAGTGATGTAGAATTGATTTTACACGGGCTATTTTGTAAAATGTTTGAGATATATTTGATTAGTCATCAGTTATTACAGTGAGAAAATAAACATATCTGATGGTAAATGTGGCTGATGTATATATAGCAATTTAATGCCTGACAGATGACAATGTATTCTTTTTATGGCACAAAGAACTAGATTATTTAAAAAGAATTGTGGCCTTCATATGTAAATATATGTTATATGCAAAGTACTTTTAAAGAACTCAGCATTTTTTTCTATTTTTTTCATCATAGTTCAAATCTGGCATTTAAAAAAACCTTTAGACTTTTGGGTTAATGTTTGCAAATATTGGCTAATTTGTTGGCTAAAATGTAACCACAACTTTGTTTGCTTCAAATGACCTAACATAGATGTGGGAAATCTAGCTTCATATTTTTCACTCCTCCTGGTCTCAGAGTGCTTGTCAAAGTAAAGTTAAGGTGATGGATACCTGATTTTATCATTACACAATGTATGCATATACCAAAATATCCCATGTACCCCCAAAGCGTGTACAATTTTTATGCATCAATTTAAAATTTTTTAAATAATTTAAAGAATTTAGTTAATGCAAAGCACATAGCAAAATCTGGATACATAGAAGTCACTGTTAACCACACCAGCAGCATTTTCTATGAGTGACTTTTTGGGAATTTGGTTATGTCGTTTGTGTGGTGACCATATTTTTCAAGCCAAAAGAAAAATAAAAAACTGAGAATGATGGAATCAGATAAAATGTTTGTGAGTAGGATTACTGAGAAATCAAAAAATATCTATTTTTCTACTAGCAAGTGCAGTTAAACTTTATTCTATTTTCTAAAAAGTCAAGAGCCATTGGCTGCAGAAAATATTTCAACCGAATTTGGCATGATGCATATATAGTAATTTAATGCCTAACAGATTACAATTTATTCTTTTTAAGGCACAAATAACTGGATTATTTAGGAACTGTAGACTTCATGTGTAAATATATATTATATGCAAAGTATTTTTAAAGAACTCAGCATTAAAAAAAAATTAGACTCACCTTAAACATTGACCATTTATTTGTGTTGGAAATATTTCAAATTTTCTTTTCCAGCTATTTTGAAATACACAATAAATTATGGCTAGCTGTTGTCACTCTACTGTGCCATCAAACACCAGACTTTGTTCCTTCTAACTCTATCTTTGTACCCTTCAGGCAGCCTTTCTCCACCCTCTTTCCCACCCTTTCCTGCCTCTGATAACCATCATTCTACCCTCTACCTCCCATGAGATCACTTTTTTTTTTTTTAGCTCCCACGTATAAGTGAGAACATGCAATATTTGTCTTTCTGTGCCTGGTTTATTTCACTTAACATAATGACCTCCAGCTCCATTCATTTTTCTGCAAAGGACAGAATTTCATTTCTTTTTATAACTGAATAATATTCCACTGTGCATATACAAGGAGGGTCAACAAAACGTATACACATTTTAAGCAATGCTATCTATGTATTACTTTTTGAAGTTGAATTAAATTACAGTAGCAACGTGTAGTATGATGTTCGTACAACCGTGCTTCCGCCATTTTATTTGACTGCCCTGCCTGTTGCACGGTGACCCTAGCCTTCATTTGATTAACGCCATCTTTTGAACGAACGTCATACTTAAAATGTGTATACATTTTTTGGCACCCCCTGTCTATCACATTTTCTTTATCCGTTTATCTGTGGATGGACACTCAGGTTGATACCATATGTTGGCTCTTGTGAATAATGCTGCCATCAACATGGGAGTGCAGATGTCTTTATGAGGTCACTTCCCTGCTGGTTGCTGCTTGTGGTGATCATCAAAGCCCACAATCTCTTCCCCCATTCTGTCTGCAGGTTCACATTAGAGATTTAATTTTTGAGGTAAAACCACCTTCTTTCCAGTAAGATGAGAGTCACCTTGTAGTTTACTTCAGCTCAGCTGAGAGTGACTCTGTGTGCATGACAAGAATCAAGGAGGGGTGTGGGTTAGGTTTCTTGTGAGCAGACTAGCACAGACTCAGGAGGCTGGATTGTCATCAGGACACACAAAAAGGTGCTTGTGTAAAGGATTGTGAGGCTGAACTGGGGCCCAGGGATGGAAGAGAGCTAAGTATTTGTCATGCATGTGAGAGAGGAGAGGAATGAGACACAGGCTTGGGATTTGCCATCTTTAGAAAAGGCATTGCCTGAGAGACAAAAAAGGCAGATGAAGACCTGAAAATATATTTTGCTAACATCACATTTTGGCCATGACTTGAGTTGACTCTGCCCATAACTTCCGTGTTGCACATAACTCCTTATTGTTTCCTTTTGGATGTAACTCCAAAACCGGTACCCAAGCTATCAACCTGTTCAACCACAGACCTCCTTCTCTCCAACAGAGGTCTCTTCCGCTGGGTAGGGAGCAGGGGTGGTGGTTATGCCATAGCAGGTCAACTTGTGGTCTTGGAAACTACCAAGATCTGGGTTTGGTTTCTGATTCTGCCACGCATTAGTTTATGACCTCTGGCAAGTTACTTGAGTTTGCTGTGCCAATCTGTAAAAATGGGCATAGCAATGCTCATAGAATTTTTAAAGGGCTTAAGTAAAACAATATAAGCATATCCTCTTATATTTAAAAAGTTATCAGTAAAGGACTAATATGATTAGTCATCCCAAGTAGAAATGACAGTCCAAGGGTGCGATTTCACACAAAACTTTAGACCTTATGTGTCAGAGCTGGATTAAAAGCTTTAGAGAATCCACATTTCTAGATTAAATTTCATCTATACAATATTTCCTCAAATTCGGTTTTTTTGAAGTGATTGACAATGTACATATGTTACAATTCAAATAGTTTCTTTCTAATTACCTGACGGTCACATTCTGGGCACCTTGGTTGAAATGGAGCATTTTTCTTTGTTTTTTTTTTGTGTGTGTTTTCCCCGCTTTGCGGGTGTCATAAACACCTGTATTGTCTACTTTGTGGGTAGCTGAGAGCTGGGACATGTTAAATATTTGAATCAGGCAGAAAAGCAATGAAGTGTGCAGGGACCTGTGGATTCTGGATTCATCCAACCCCTCAAGAGCAGCCGCTTGAAGGTGACCCTCTCCCATTTGCTTCTCCAAGATCCAGGCCGCGGTGGAGGCCGCCCGAAAAGCCTTTCCCGGCTGGTCTTCCCAGAGCCCCCAGGAGCGCTCGCGGGTCTTGCACCAGGTGGCAGATGTGCTGGAGCAATCCCTGGAGGAACTGGCTCAGGCGGAATCCAAAGACCAAGGTGAGAGCTTTCTCTTGACTGCAGCGGATGGGACTCGGGCCAACTCGGATTATTGACAGTATCCCTCCTGGGCTGTCAGGCAAGCCCACGCATGGTCATCACGGCGGTGGCAGAGGCGCGGAGCACCACCAACCCTGGCGGGTGGGCGGAGGTGGGG